ACCCACTCCGCGATGTGGATAGTGTGAAATACCCACGTCGCGGAGTGAGCATTTTATTCGGTCATTGGCCGAAGTGAAATGCCCAGACCGCGATGTGGGTAAATTGATATACTCAAATGCCAAAGTCATAACGTTCTTCGGCGATTGAGCGAATCAAAAATACCCACAACGCGATGTGAGCAAGAGGGATTGCCCACGTCGGGTTGTGGGTATTCTTAGTTTGTGCAAATGCCGAATTTACGTTTAGACATGTTACCCCCACTATTTGCACTATTTGCGATTAGGATGTACGGACCTGTACCTGCATTGTGTTTTCTTTACTGTTGACCGGGGACGACTAGCCCCTAGAAATGTAATGGCAGTTGTAAATAAGACAAATGATTACTACACTCTTGGCACAAGACATGGAATTCTGGACGAACAGTTTGCGAAAACCCTATTCCAGGTGGCGCTAAATAAATTTCCTTGCCCCGAGGATGTACCCGATGACCAAGTTAACGTACGAAAAGAAGCGATGATGTCATCCGGATCAAAACAAGGTTTTTATAAGATGTGGTTGCAAGAAGAACTGTTTGAGTAAATCATGTAAATGTATTAAGTTAAACGTAAAATGCATTCTAAATGTCATGGCAGCACCTCTTGTGCCAATAAGTAAAAGTAATATGTAACAAGAACTGTGTTATGATCGGCGATTTAAGGTTACTCCTATTTTTGTAAAGCGGAAAAACATAATTTCAGTTTTTTTTCTTCTTATTCGGTAATTTGCAGTTTTCTTGTATTTTCTAAAATGATATTTGTACATTAAATAATAATCACAAACATAAATTTTATTTATTTTAGGCCTACCTAGTGATTGTGGATTTCATGTAGATTTTTTTGTACACGGTAGTTCATATTCAGGTCATATTCAGGCTATTCGGCGTTTGCGCAAAATAGAAATACCCACAACCCGACGTGGGCAATCACTTTTGCTCACACCGCGTTGTGGGTATTTTGGATTTACTCAACCGCCGAAGAAGGTTTAGACTTCGGCGTTTGAGTAAATCAGTTTACCCACAACGCGGTCTGGGCATTTCGTTTCGGTCAATGTCCGAAATAAAATGCTCACTTCGCGACGTGGGTATTTCAAACTATCCACATCGCGGAGTGGGTAGAAATTTCGGACATTGTCCGAATTCGGAGATTGAGTGTAACATATGCACGGCAAAGAGCAACTTTCTAGCCTTTCAATACGGATGGGAAAGTACCTGTTTCTGTATAGTATGATGTAAAACGAATATGAATTTCAATATTCAACTCCAACGGCTTATTTATTAAGCCCCTATATAACCGGCTGATGGTATTTGTGTGTTACTACGAACGCTCCAGGAATGGCTTCCAGTTAGCTATAAACCCAATGTTAATTACCAACAATGCTCCTACCTGTATATAGCTTCCTGTGATTGGCCATGCAGCTGGCTCGTCGATTGTTTGTGGTTAATTTCACACGTATGTTCATACGTTCTTTTTGTTTAGCCTTTCAGCTGTGGATTTATGCTAAATAAGTGCATTAATTTTTTTTATTTGTTTTTTTATCTAGAACTATTGTTTAAACTACATTCTAATTACATTAATAAATACAGTTACTAGGTGAAACTGGAAACCGAATGGAATTAGAGTACTCCTCCTTCTCAATAAATATTTTCTCTGAAATGCTGTGTTGTTTACACTATAAATCTACATTTGACCAAAAGTTCTTATTCGGTCAAAAACAATATCAGAAAAATATTATCCTATATATTACCTAATAGGCAAGCATGCTTCTTAAAAAACCTTTTTTTCTCAGCTTGTGTACATCAAAGGGAAACCTCTATGCATACTAGAAAGATATTTGACCGTAGAAGAGCAGAAACACGTTATAAGTTAAAATAGACTTTAAAATAAGCACGACAAATTAATTAAAAATTTATAAAAGTTAAATAATATGTTGTGGTTTTGAAAGAGGTAAGGTAATATGTTTTTTGGATCAGGTTAACCATCATATAAATAGTTATGTTTTGGAATGTGATCTTGAGACTCCTACTCTATAATGTAGTAACTATTCAAACTAAGAAGGAAATAGCCTACTAATTTTAAAATGTATCTACAGTAGTGTAGTCATAAAACATCTCTTCCACTAAGTGATTAACTTTAACATTTTTCTATCCTTCACTGGGGGAACATGTGTCGTATTGTTACTTATTTCCACTCACAGTTCAGACCACCTGACAAAATTAATATTTTTACATCACGAAAACAACATATTTATGAAACCAGACAAAGCTATAAAAAATTCATATTTAGGTTGTTTATATAAGCAGTTAACTCTTTGTGCTAAAACGAATGTGTATACAACCAGCTCAATAAAAGCAGAGAATACTGCATTTACAAATTTTACTCGCTGGAAACGAAAGGATCCGTTTGTAAGTAGCACATTTTGGTTGGGTTCAAAATTTACCACCGAGGCAAAACGATTAATGCAATACCCTCTTACCTTTGCAAAGATGACTTGATGACTGAAAAAAAAATAAAAATCCACGAAAATATCATGATATAAAATCTGTATGTTGTTTGCGAATGCCAGAGCTGTTATAATACAATAACAAATAATACTACTAATTTACAATATTTAAAATATGTCTACTAGGTTTATACCATTAAGAGTATATATTTACCTCAATCAAGTGTCAATTACAAAAAAAGTAGCCTATTTAACATTGATTTTCATATTTTAGCGAATTTCCCATATAGGGAATAAGCTATTACCGTAGTACTCATGGTAAGACCTGGACGCGGGACCGATTTTTTTTTTCGTTTTGAGGTCCCTAGAGGCCAAAAACACCATCCGTTCAAATTCATATATATATATATATATATTTATATATATATATATATATGTGTCCGTCAGCACGATAACTCGAGCAAAAATGATCCGATTTGGATGAAATTTGGTACAAACGTGTAAACGTACGTTTATTCGAACGAGTTCGCGATCCAGCATGATCGGACCATGGGAACGGGGGTTTACGGGGGGTTTTATGGGTTAAAAATAGGTTTTTCCTATTTTTGACCCAAAAAACATAAAATTTAGCAATTTCTTTCCAAACCATTTTGTAGAGCTTAAAAAAACAAATAATTTAGTATATTGAAGCGTTATTATGCGCCTAATAGTTACGGAGAAAATTCCAAAAAATTGTAAATTTAAAATTCCCATGTTATTCTTATGGAGAATAAGTAAACTGTTGTAGTTTGCTTGTTTGTGAACATATTTTGATCAAATTTGGAAAATGTTTTTATTTCTCACTACCTATTCACATTTTACAAAAAAAAAGTTTTACCCTCCCTGATGCAGCAAACCTAAGTACTTGTCAAACTAATTCTATTTAAATCAAGAATAAATGTTATATTTTTAAGTAGACATTTCAGTGTAAATCCAATCAGTCAAATGGAAATTCGCTTAGTCTGCAGGTTTGCTGCGGCGGGGGTATTTTCTTGTTTACAACCTGGCTGTTGCTGAACAACCAAATGGAGGTAGTCAGCTGTTAAACTACAGTTAATTAACATAAAAATGTTTTTTTCAAGAAAATTTATTATCAGCACTGGACCATAAAATGCTCTCTCCAGAAAGAAAGAAAGGGGTGATGACATTAAAGTAACTATTGTCTTATTGGTTACGAATCTTCATTCCGCTGGATCATGGGCTTTAAAATTTCACCGCAATCGTATAAATCGATTAAAACCAGTTGCAATTTAGAAAAGGCCACAAAGCAAGTTGTATTCATTAGTGTATAGGATTTTTACAAGTATAGAGATTTAATTTATGCATGTATTCAACGTCCTTTACAATATTTACATCAAGGACCTACATCGTTTTATATAAGAAGACCATATAATCATTGAGTAAAAACTTAGGGTATCGTGGAGACATGATCAGGTCTCGAACCGTCGAACAGTTTTGTTTCATTATTATTTTGGAGTGTAAAAATATCTATATCTTGGGGTTGTCTTATTTTTGGCAGTTTATACCTGGATCAACTAGAACCTAGACCATTCGGGCGTTCTTTTCTGGTTTCATTTGCAGCAATGGCATCTAGAAGGTGTAATAATGTAGGTTACTTTGTCCATCAAAGCGTACTCAATCAAACATATGGTCTTATAGTGTTAGCAAAACGGGAGTGCCGATGGAGACCTGTGGGGGTGCGCGCGTTTGAAGTGACTTGATCTGGTCTCCATCGGTACTCCTGTTTTAATAACACTGTACATTATAGTGAAAAAGCGAAGGTGTGAAACCCCCGTATAGAATGTTCTTTACTGTCAAAAGCAATTTTATTTAGAATTTCAAATTAGTTTGCTTTCGAATGAAACAACAATTGTAGGGCCATTATCGATTGAGCTTTTACCATGGATTAAAGGAGTAGCTATGCTTGAACTTAGAGATTCTCAAACGAGCGGTATGAGAGGCCTATAGTATGTACACATTGTACAATATGCATTCACACAAGGTTCAGTAACAACCATTTTACTTTCAAGTCAAGGGTGGCTGTTGATTTGCTATGTAATAAGTCAATGACACTTGTGGTTAAAAATAATTAAGTTGACCTATAGAATAAATAACCATACAATGTTATATGTTTAGAAATAAAAGCATAACGTAGTTTAAATAGGTAGTTTATATTTTTTTCAAAATCATCTCTATTTTCATTGTATTTAAATTTGAATCGCAACAATAAAGTCTTAAATTAAGACTACATATAATCAAATGTTATTTCAAATTTGTTTTTTTTTCAAACTGCCAAAGTACTAGGCTAATGTGCATTCAAAACCACCCCTGGTGTATAAAGTACAAGTTGAATCTTAAAATTGAGGTTAAAATTTTAAATGATCCTTAAATAATTTCTCATGTTTCCAAATGTTTCACCTTAAATTGCCAAAGTGCAATAGCAAACGTGGAGAGGGAATAAATAAAAGACACAACTACAGCGTTTACAAAACTTAACATAAACACACTAATATATTTATTTAACGATATTTATAAATATTTGTATATATAGGGTAGGATTGTAGTAGTAACAACGATGTCGGTGTGTGTGTGTGGTGGGTATGTCGTAGCACAGCCTGAGGTCCCTACCAAGCCCCCTGGTGGGTCTACCAAGGGGGCGGGTGCTGGTAGGGGGGTAGCCAAGGTCACTCGCCTGACACAGTCACGGGGGTAGTCCACTGCCACGGCGACGAGTGGCTCTTCTGTTGGCTGAAACAAGCAAAAATACTACATTAATCAAACAGTTCAGTAAATAGCGTTGATAAGAAATATACATATAGTCTGTCCGCAACAACGGATGGATTGCAAGTTTTGTGGCGTAAGAGTATTGTTATAACATAAAGTAATAGCACTTCTTTACAGAATTATATCATTTTTACGACATTGCGATTTAGCCACCGCATGTGAACTCTCATTCTGTTGTAGGATTTGAAGTCAGTTCTGACGTCGGTTTCATCATTGGGTGCGGTTAGGTGCTGATGTCGTCTAAATGTATTTCTACATGGGGCAATACTATACCCTCGTCATTACATTAGGTTATAATGCCAGAGGAGAGCTAGAGTTTATTTATATGATTAAAACACAATCTAAGATTACCGAACAAAAATATGATACCTAAATAACGTCTTCAGCTGTAATCTGTACTGATCCAAAATGGCAAATATTTAGGAGAGTATCAAATGTAAAATTTACAACGTCCAAAGTAAAATTGGTTTTATACTGTTTAATAATTGGAACTTTACCGATTAAAAATTATGTTTTCCAAATAAAGCATATTAAGTATAAACTAGTGGTATAAACTAGCGAAAATTCTACCAAAAAAATGTAATGTACAGACTTCTCTATTTTCACCCCTCGCTGTGAATAAAACGTGTGATTGCAGTTTCTTCGATTTCTTTGATTTTCTATTTATATTTCGTTGTTATTTCGTCACCAGCATGGCAACCCATAAAATCCATGTTAATTTTTTAAAATTAATTTTTATTACTTATTTTTGAGCCTATTTTAATTTATAATGCGATTCTGCACATCTACAGGAAAATATCTTTCCAACAGTATGCGTAGATTTTCATACATTTATTATACATCGGCTGACTAATCGGCAATAACATACATAGATAAACAACATTTAAACAGTATTAAAATATTACACTAGGATAGGCCACTTGTACTATTCGATTTGTGTATCGATAGTTCCTGTTCGATAGATCGATATCGGTGACAGCTCGTTACTCTAAGCTCGTGTATCAGATATCAGTTTGTTTTTCATTACCAGCGTTGCGCGTCACTATTGGTCGTTAGCTCGTTGTTGTGACGTCATTAGGTCCCGTGTCGTTTATTTCAACAATAATTGGATGGAAACAGTTTTACTTTGAAAATTCAGTAACAATGGTTAGGTACATTAACACAACACAACAAGCGCGTACAGTAACAAGCTACAAAGAGTACAACAGTGCTTTCTGTCGTTTAATCATAAACATTATTACTGTATCTGAAATACTCACGAACTCAATTTGAAATACAAATAACTTAAAGCATGAAAACATCATATTAGTAAACCCCCTTTTTATTAGTAAGCATAAGGTACATTTTTTTTAATTTTGACTCTATAGCTGTTTTTTTCATGTAGTAAAAACCATAACTTCATAACGATATGCAGGCCTATAAATAATTTCAAATAGGCCTACAGATTAAAGATTATTGTTGTTTTTTTAAAACACGGGAAACATCTCGATCGATAACATTTTGTACCAGGCTATTTACATCTTAAATTACAAAAGCATAAAATATGCTTTTGAAAAACCGACAATAAAAGCAAGAAAGTTCATTGTCCATTAAATACGTATTGTAACAATAGCTATGTTTCTATATACGTAGAGCATCTGTACATACGGTATATAACGATAACAATAGCTATGTTTCTATATACGTAGAGCATCTGTTCATACGGTATGTAACAAAAACAATAGCTATGTTTCTATATACGTAGAGCATCTATACATACGGTATGTAACAATAACAATTGCTATGTTTCTATATACGTAGAGCATCCATACATACGGTATGTAACAATAACAATTGATATGTTTCTATATACGTGGAGCATCTGTTCATACGGTATGTAACAAAAACAATAACTATGTTTCTATATACGTAGAGCATCTGTACATAGGGTCCGTAACAATAACAATAACTATGTTTCTATATACGTAGAGCATCTGTTCATACGGTATGTAACAAAAACAATTGCTATGTTTCTATATACGTAGAGCATCTGTACATACGGTATGTAACAATAACAATTGCTATGTTTCTATATACGTAGAGCATCTATACATACGGTATGTAACAATAACAATTGCTATGTTTCTATATACGTAGAGCATCTGTACATACGGTATGTAACAATAACAATTGATATATTTCTATATACGTAGAGCATCTGTACATACGGTATGTAACAATAACAATTGCTATGTTTCTATATACGTAGAGCATCTGTACATACGGTATGTAACAATAACAATTGCTATGTTTCTATATACGTAGAGCATCTGTACATACGGTATGTAACAATAACAATTGCTATGTTTCTATATACGTAGAGCATCTGTACATACGGTATGTAACAATAACAATTGCTATGTTTCTATATACGTAGAGCATCTATACATACGGTATGTAACAATAACAATTGCTTTGTTTCTATATACGTAGAGCATCTATACATACGGTATGTAACAATTAACAATTAATTGTTATGTTTCTATATACGTAGAGCATCTGTACATACGGTATGTAACAATAACAATTGCTATGTTTCTATATACGTAGAGCATCTGTACATACGGTATGTAACAAAAACAATTGATATATTTCTATATACGTAGAGCATCTGTACATACGGTATGTAACAATAACAATTGCTATGTTTCTATATACGTAGAGCATCTGTACATACGGTATGTAACAATAACAATTGCTATGTTTCTATATACGTAGAGCATCTGTACATACGGTATGTAACAATAACAATTGCTATGTTTCTATATACGTAGAGCATCTGTACATACGGTATGTAACAATAACAATTGCTATGTTTCTATATACGTAGAGCATCTATACATACGGTATGTAACAATAACAATTGCTTTGTTTCTATATACGTAGAGCATCTATACATACGGTATGTAACAATTAACAATTAATTGTTATGTTTCTATATACGTAGAGCATCTGTACATACGGTATGTAACAATAACAATTGCTATGTTTCTATATACGTAGAGCATCTGTACATACGGTATGTAACAATAACAATTGCTATGTTTCTATATACGTAGAGCATCTGTACATACGGTATGTAACAATAACAATTGCTATGTTTCTATATACGTAGAGCATCTATACATACGGTATGTAACAATAACAATTGCTATGTTTCTATATACGTAGAGCATCTATACATACGGTATGTAACAATTAACAATTGTTATGTTTCTATATACGTAGAACATACGGTAATATTTGTTACAGCAAAACCAATCGAATTGATCAAACAAGAGATCAAAACTAGTTTTCGTCAAGTGCAGTTTACATTCCAGGACTATTTGCCAACACCGATGTGTTGTTGAACCGTCACACTCCACTTTGTAGTCTTCCATTTGTAAATGTAAATTGAATATACTGTACTTTGAACTGAGTTTCCTTTGATTATGACGGTCTATAAAAAGTGTAAACTACAAAATCATCCCCATATTCCTTGTTTGCACAAAATTATGAAGACGTACTATCATAGCAAGTTCACTATCTTGGATAAAATATCTAATCAAATACTTTTAATGTAAGTTCTGCGGCATCGAAAAATCATAAGATCATTAACATTCGTTTTGCGAACTTCCCGCATAGGGAATAAGTATAATAATAAAGGTACCGCAGGTCTTATAATAAGAGCTGGCCATGAGGTCCCCAGAGGCTAAAAACGCAATTCGTTCAAGTTCACATATATATATGAACGGGGCCATGGGAACGGGGTTTTATAGGGGTAAAAATGAGATATTCTTATTTCTTACCATAAAAAACTAAATTGTTGTAATTTATTTATAAACCATTCTGTAGAGCTAAAAAACAAATAACTTAGTATATTGAAACGTTGTTATGTGCCTAACAATTAAAGAGAAGGTTAAAAATTAATTGTGAATTTATTTTTATGTTATTCTTATGGGAATATTTAAACCGTTGTAGTTGTATTTTTATTTCGTAAATTTATTTATTTCACGATAAACTATTGATGCTGCACAAACAATACTTCATAACCTTCCCTGTAGCAGCAAACATCGCTAAACTAAGTTTACTGATGAATGTGTCCCTTCACCTAATGTTTCACCTTTGAATAAATATGACACTAATGAGCAGATATTTTAGTGAAAATCCAATTGGAAAATGGAAGTTCGTTTAGTCTGCAGGTTTGTTGCAGGGATAATGAATTTTAGTTTATGTTTATATTGATAACAGGTACATTTTCTAGGAGAAACACTATTTACTGAAAGGAATAAAATCCCTTATCACAAGAGAATAGAGCATATTTTACTTGCAATGAATCTTTCTGCTTTGAACTGTTGTGTTCAAGTTCATAAACCGTTGATGCTACTTATATTTGCGTTCAATAAAACTAAATACATTACTTAGGACTGTGCAACGATTTTTACAAATTCAAAATATATTTGTTGTAAAATAGACTACCACCAATGCTGTAAAAATCACGGTTTGAACGTTATTGGAAATTTTGTGATTTTACCCATAAAATATCATTTTATATTACTCCCACCGCATTTATTAGCTTGTCCCCGACAAGCAAATAATAAGAGAAGGTAAGTGTCAAAGCGGTGTCAGATTGCTGATACCGGTTATTTTCAATTGGACTGCCTCAAAATAAAAAAAATAAAGCCAAAACTTTTAATTTTTTTCGAATGCCCACTGAAATTACCTAGGCTAGTAAAAAAAAATAATTGTGTATTTACCTAGAAAGCTTAGGAACACATTTATTTACGCGTTCTGTAAGGGAGATTTTGGACGATTTCTAGATTATAGCTAAACCATGCATGTATGTTTTAGCTCCACCATTTCCCAGAACACACTGTTTGTCTGTGTTTTCAGTTGCAAATGCCAAACAGATGTGGCCGGACAGTAGAGATGCAGGCAGTGTTGCA